TCACCCAAATGATATACTAGGGCTAGGACCCAACACAATATTCTACAACTCGGGAGAGGGATGCCGTAACCCTAATTGCAGAACATTTGAAGGTAAGTGAATGACGATTCACTAATTTTCCACCATGAAAAACGAAAAAACAGATTAAGTCTTAAATGTATTGAAAACTCCTAGATTCTTTGAGATTCATTGAACCTTTTCAATGGCATGTTTAAATCTCGACATGCCCCTCTAGTTTGTGACTGGGATGCCGAGGATCACAAAGCGGGTATGAATAACCATGCAAATCTACATGGTACCCCCACATGTTACAGTCACCTATTCGATGTGCCGGTAAACCACACACGCTCCATCGAACTATGACAAACATTGAGTCGCCCTTTGCTACCTTTGCTTAGAACCATTTAGTGTGCCGGTAAACCACACACGCTCCACTAATGTCTTCGCAATGGTACAAAGTGTAATTTCATGGAATTGCATCAATTCACTTTTGCCTAAAGTAACTAAGATTAGGAATTTTATGAAAACATTTAGCTACTTTTATACTTCATTATAGTTATAATGGAAGGTTTCTGTCCTATCCTACCCGTTCGGCTAACGACCCTCCACTAGTCAAGAGTGTCGTGGGTAAGAGTGGATACCCATTCAATCGCCATTTTATAGGCAATTTCCTTAAACACCCCTTATAGACCAGCTTCGTGAATGAGGCCTACTAACGGTAAGACTGACTTTTACTCATACATATATATAATGTTAGACTTTTAATGTTATATATAGTATTATACTTTTAAAATACTAGGTGGTCTAATTTAATAATTATACTTTTAATTCTATTAAATAGTACACCAAAACTTTATGGATTTACTAAATCTCTTTTAATTATACACTTTAATTAATTAATAAAACCATAAGGGTGTGATTTGAACTTTTCAAAACATTACTAGAGTTTTAGAATTTAACCTTCCTAAATTAAACTTTTAATCAACTTTTAAATTCCAAAACTTGAGGGCAAGTTTTGAAACATTTCAAAACATTAGGGTTTAGAATTTAAATATTTCAAAATCAAACTTTTTAATCAAAAATTTAAATTCCAAAACTTGAGGGCAAGTTTTGAAACTTTTCAAAACATTAGGGTTTAGAATTTAAATATTTCAAAATCAAACTTTTTAATCAAAAATTTAAATTCCAAAACTTGAGGGAAAGCTTTGAAACTTTTCAAAACACTAGGGTTTTAACTATTTAAATTTCAAAACAGAACTATTAAGTTCAAATTTAAACTATAAAACCTAAAGGAGAAAAATTAAAACTTTTCACAAGCTAATTCAAATCTAAATTACAAATAATCAAATTTTATCTAATAAAACAAATGATTATCTAAATTTTGACAATTATCTTCTATTTAGGTAAGGATAATCACCAAATATTGATAAAATTCGGAATTTATAAAAAAACATATTTAAGGTAATTATCCAAAGCCAAAACAGGAAGAAAATCGCGAAAACGAGCTGTCAGACGTTTCAACTCGTCGAGTCTGGACCTGGACTCATCGAGTACACCTGACTCGGCGAGTGCACCAAGCGACTCGGCGAGTCAAACACTCAGAATCAAAAAATTTCGATTTTTAGTGCTGATTTCGATCAAATATGCATCAATACAATAGAAACCAATCAAGGCTCTGATACCACTGATGGGTTTTAGCCATAAGAACATCCTATGTGCTCATACAAACCCTAATGCTTGGATCTAGGTTTCTCTATTGTACATGCAATTCATCCAAGACTATAAACCCTAGATCTAGTATATGATAATCAATATAACATATGAATTAGGGTTTAGATCATACCTTGATTGTTATGTAGCAATAACAATCTCAAATCCTCCTTGTATTGACTTTAGAAAGCTTAGAGTCACAAATGTCACTCCTTTAATGGTTCACAAACACCAAGAGCAAGAGGATGAAGAAGAGAAGAGAAGGAGACTCTCAAAAACGTGTGGAAACCCTAAAGATTCAGTTGCCCACGTTTTTGGGGCCCAAGGGGTCATTAAATAGTGAGGCTATTAGGGTTATCTAACAAGGAAACCCTAAGCGTAAGCAACCCATGAACTCTTTTCTTAAAGGCCTTGGACGATTTCTAATGGGTTTCCCCATAGAATTCGCCCACCCCTTTAATATAGAGTCCATTAGCTCAATATTCAACTATCACACAATTGACAGTTCTAGTCCCTTAAGTTTAATTAATGTCTTTTAGCCACAAACTTAATTCTTATTAATTCTTGACTAATATTAATTAAACAATATGATTTCTCCTTTTAATATATTATTCTCATAATATATTAATAAATCATAATTAATCCTTTCTCTCCATACTTCATCCTATCAAGTTGCTTTGATGAAGGCAACCCAAAAGGACCATGCACCATCGGGTCAAGTACATAGCAAAATAGTTATGGACTTAGACATTAATCCAACAACAACCACCCCACACTCACAAACACACACCCACCCATCCACAAAACACATACACACCACCCCCACAAACACACACACACACCACCCCCACAAACACACACATACACACAACACCTCTATGAAAACCTCTACCCCTCACACACACATCCTTATGCCCACACCCACAAACACACACACACACACACATACACAACCACCCCCCACAAATATATTGCCACACCCAGCCCCACCCCTATAAACATACACACACCCACCCACCACCCCCACTACCTCCACAAACACACACTACTACCATAAATTCCGACATACCAACACATCTACTACTACCACCACCACCACCATAATCACCACCATCAAGTTGTCACCACTGCCACACCGCCAACACCACTACCATCCCACCACCATAACTGACGCCATCATCGCCACCACCGTCATCACCCCACTATTGTTACCGCCACCAACACCATTATCATCATTCACACCACCACTGCCACCTCGACTGCCCCCAGCACCGTCATCGCCACAAACACATTCATTACCCACCCATCACCCCCCCCCCCCGCCCCCGTGGCCTCCCCCACCACTACCATTTTCTAAGAATGAAAACAGATAGAAAAATACACATGTAAAATTTTTTTCTAATTTTATGTAACCAAAAATGAAAAAGTAACAAGTTTTAACTAAACACATTTTCTAAAATTTTCAATGAAAATGTAAAACGGAAAATGAAAACTGAAATTGAAAAATGGAAAACAGGAAAGGAAACTTGTTTTTCCGTAACTAAATGCAAACTAGGTTTTTGGAGAAATGGAGAATGCTACGATGGATCATGTGAAAACAATGAAGGAAAACGTAATGCTTACTGGTAGAAATGGCAAAAAAAAACCCGAACCTGACGGGGAAACCCGAAACCCGATTATTTCGGGTCAGGTAACGTGTGGTTATCGGGTTCGGCGCAGGGAGTGGGTTATCCTCGCCCTGACCCGACCCGCCCCGATTATATATATATATATATATATATATATATATATATATATATATATATATATATATATATATATATATATATGTTTGAATCTTTTTGATGTTAATTGCACGCATTCAAAGATAAAATACTTATAGTAGACAATTTTTTTAGTTATTAACAATCTGGTGTGAATAATCATTTTTTATGTTTTGACTTATTACACTAAAATTAAATCAAATAATTTTTAATATAACGTCAAGTTAATTTTATTAAAGTGATTCATCATATGTTTAATTTAAAAGGGAGGCTAGAACACATATTTTTTTATAAGAGATCGGGGTATCCTAAAATAGAATAAAGATTTCGTTATGAATTGTTGTAAACCCGATAAGATACCCGAAACCCCATGGGAAAACCCGAACCCAACGGGGCGCCCCGATAAGATACCCGAAAGATATCGGGGCGGGTTTGAGAAACCATGCCCCGCCCCGAACCCGCCCCGTTGCCATTCCTACTTACCGGGTGTTGCCCTCCCTTCGAGGTTGGGTGTTCAAGTCTCATTGGAGACATAGATGGTATTATGTGTAGTGTAGATTTTCCGTCCTTAAAAATAAATAAATAAATAACCTACTAGATTTTTTTTTTTTTAATTTAAAACATTTTGGTTTACCTAAGTTTATAATTGAAACTTAAAGATTGGAAATAATACTAAAATTTCGGGGTTGCACTCATTATGGTTTTGAATGTTCAAGATGAATAAACATACAAGATTACTCAACATTACAATAACTGTAGCTTTTATTGTTATAGATGTTAAAGATGAAAGAATGTTTAAAAGTTACTAAAATTGATTAAATAGATAATTAATTAGGGTAAATATGATATTTTGATATTTATAATTGATAGAGATAATATTTTATATTTAAATTTATAAAAATGGTAGAATAGTCTATTAATAAAACTAAATATTTAAAATAATTATAAATTATTTAAAAAATATTTGGATAAATATGATATTTTGAAAGTTTAAAAAATTAAATATAATATTGTGAAATTAAGTTAGACAAGTATTATATATTAGTGTTTAGTAAGATATATATCAAATTCACCCTTAATATTATATAATTAAAACTATTATATATTCTCAAACACATCTCATGTATATACTTCATCTATATGAAGATTTTGAGAAACATTTATGATATTAACATATATTTTACTTTTAGTTCAATTCTAGTAACAAGACTTTTCCTTGACAAACATTTTTTATGAACGCACTGCCAATAATATTAAAAGGAAAAAAAATCCCAATAGAGATTTCACATTATAAATAATTATAAACAATAATACTATTTTTTGTATTCACACACAAGTCAATAATTAAGTAATGAATATTGATTTACAACCCCCTATAAGATAGTCTTTTAGTCTACTTTTTAAAAACCACTAAAGCCAACCCATCACCCCTGTAGACGTTGACTTCGACAATCTCTCCTCTATATTTACGTCATCCAATTTCTGTACTCTACACCCATCGGAAAACTTCCTTTCTCCCGGCTCAAAATGAGTTCTGATCACTTCGCAGCACCCCCTTCCGTATCCAATGGGGCTCTTAGAAGCATGGAGCCAGACTATCCAGAAGAAAGCGAATATGAAACACAAGCAGCAGCTCCGAGCCAAGTAAGATTTGTTGGTAGTTCCCAGCAGTTCCCCGTAGTTGGTGAACGAACAGTGCCTATAGTTGACTTTGCGTTACCTCCTCAACAATCAACTTTACGTCCTTTCTTTGTCTCGAATGATAAACTTAATGGAAAGGACAACCCTTCATCGGCTGAAAACGGTGGTGGTGGTGCTGCTACTGTCTCCGGTTGGGTGCGCCCAAAAAATTCTGAAAATATCACCCACAATCCTTATAGTAACACGTTAGTCCCAGCTAGCCGCTCAAGCTTTGATGCCCGAGCTCGATCCAATGTCAGTATGAGGGGAGACAAATTCAAGCATGCCAACCAGCAACTTGATCTGTATTGATTGACATCCAAATCAATGAAAGAATGAATAAAGTCGCATCTGCAATATCTCACTTGATGGGATCTGTTAGAAGACTGCGTTAAACTTTGTGTATGATTTGTGAATCTTGATTCTGATGTATTTGGTTTCGTCCATTGAAATGTTTCTTGATATTATTACTATGGCTAAATTGCAAATACTATTTTATTTAGTATATATAGATGTAATCGGGGATTTGTTAAATTAGGTCAGAACTAAGTTTTTTCCAGCATTATACTTTGGCAACAAGTTGTATCTGTTTCTGTTATTTCCATGTTCATATTCCTCTGTCTTCGTCACTCTTTCTTCTCCCCTGTTTCTGCTGTTTTTCCTTGGTGCACAAGGTGCAGCTACAGCTGCAAATCTCTCTGATTACACTTGGTATCAGAGAGCATAACCAGGTACAAGGTACAGTCAATCACATCATGGATGGCCAGGAGAAAGACGGATCAGCATCGCTTCGTTACCTGATGCTGTCACACAGGAACTAAGCCGTATGGGCCATAAAGCTGAGGGACTTTATTCGGGCGCAAGATGTTTGGGAGGCTGAGGAACCTAAGAAGCCCCAAAACACCATACCAGTTAATAAGGACAAGATAGCATTGGCAACCATCTATCAAGGAATCCAGGAGGATGTCTTGCTGTCAATTGTGAAGAAGCAAACAGCAAAAGAAGCATGGGATATGCTTAAAGCATGTATCTTGGAGTGGATAGGGTGGAGGCTGCGAAAGTACAAACCCTAAAGGTAGAATTTGAGGTTCTAGCGATGAAGGAAATGGATTCGATTGATGACTTTGCGCTCAAGATAAATAACATAGTAAGCAACATCCGCGTTTGGGGGGACACAATGGAAGCACAATACGTGGTTAAGAAGTTTTTAAGGGCAGCCCCAACAAGGTCCGTGCAATTGTATCAGCCATTGAACAATTTGAGGACATTGAAACCATGACAATTGAAGAAGTGATCAACTGTTTGAATGCTTATGAAGAAAGAGTTCGGGAATCTAGTGAAGTGGATGAAAAGAAGCTACTCCTAACTCATCGAGAGTGGGTAGAAAAGCCAAAGAAAAAGGGCGATAACTCCAAAAACTCCAATAAGTCCTATAAGTCCTATCGCGGTAACAAGTCGCGAGGTCGTGGTAGAGGCTGGGGAAGAGGTGAAAATACGTGTGACAGGAGAGTATGTATCAAAGTAATCAATGCCACTTTTTTGTCTATAAACATTATTACTAGCCAATGTATCCATCTGCTTTCATTTTCTTTTTGAAAATCCATGTATAGCCTAGTGGTTTGCAACCTTGATGTAAATCCACTAGTTCCCATGTAGTTTGCAAGATGAAATCGATTTCGCTTTTAATTGCCTCTTCTCACTGAGGTCCTTCAGAAGAGGTGACTACCTCTTTGAAAGTTTGAGGCTCTCTTCCAACCATATATGTAACATCCCGATTATGAAGTATTTTCAATTTTAACCTTATGTTTGAAGGAATATTTCATTTTGACCATTGTACATGAGAAAGATTGCAAAAATGGCCCATACTGACATTTTGGTGATTTTGGCTAAAGACTTAGTACGTTGGGCATACTTGGGCGGACCTTAGTATGTTGGGCGTACCCTTCATACGTAGGGCATACGTGAAGGATCCTCAGACCCTAAATTTTAGGCTTTAGTCTATATATAAACATCATTACCTCCTCATTTCTCATTCACTTCTGCACGTCCGCTTCTATTTCGTCCATCTAGAACCCTAATCCTTCTGGAAAGTGTTCTTGAGCTTTTGTGGGTACTTTTGGTGATTAAGAACAATGGAGAAGAAGTGAGGACCACCTTGGAAGAGTGAGGCACCTTAGATTCAGAATCTCATCACCATTTTACATCATTTTAAGGTAAAAAGCTCTAAACTTGATGATGATTTGCTTAAGATATTTTTAGCCTTAAAGTTGTGAACATTTGGGTCCCATTACCTTGGAATTATGAGTATGGGTTACTCTAAGTCATTTGAGCCGTCCTTTTAGATGTTTCAGAACGTTGTGATGCAAAAAAAAAAAAAAAGATTTTAAGTGTGTTATGCAATCCATGCATGTGTTAGATGGTTCTATTAGGATAAGAACTTAGGGTTTTGGACAATATGCACTTTATAGCCATGCAAAGTCTAAAAGTTCAAAACTTTATAACTTAAGACATCATTATGGGCTTGGATATGAGTTTTGGACGCAATGGCTTAATGAAATAAGCTCTTAATGGAGTTTTGGGATTGGACTGCATACGACAGGTGTACCTGGTGGTACAATGCGTGTACACGTCCAACGCCCCATTTTTTTTCAACATTAGAGTACACTAGGCGTACTCTCTTGGTACGCAGTGCGTACTCCGCTAGGAAGGGATTTTGACTTTTGCACCTTGACCATTGACCTTGACTTTGACCAGGGTTGACCAAGTTTGACTTAAGGGTAGTTTGGGTATTTCGAGCTATAGTTAAGCCTTGCTCTCAATTTGTTGAATCGGTAACCTGTAGATCAGTTATTCAGAGCAATGTATTGTTCAGCTATTCGTCAGACTGCAAGGTGAGTTTCCTCATTGTATCGTGGATCGAAGGCACCAATACCGGACCACTAGATTATTGATCCTGGATAGGATCGTGCTATGCTAGTCGGTAGCTTATTAGTAGATCTGCATGATTATCTTTATTTGCTGGTTCTGTGTTATGTTATTTGCTATATATGTCGACATATTGTGTTCGGTTAAGGTTATATTGCTTTGTGAAGTAGCCAAGAAAACCAGAGTAATCTAGACATTAGTTGTGGGATCAAGGGCAAGCCAGACTTATGATGTGGGCTCGGGAGCAATCCAGATATGAGTTGAGGGCCCGAATGGCATGTCAGACTCAGGGCATCTCCAACCCACCCCCAAACTCCATTTCTTCCCCCATTTTTTTCCCTTATTCTTCTCCAACACTCCCCCATTTTCACCTCCATTTTTGGAGGTGAAGTTTGGTTGCCAATTTTAGTCCTTCTCATTTTCATTTGACAAAATTACAAAAATGGTCCCTATGGTTTGCCAAAAGTCACAAAGTCAGTCCCTGCTAATTTTTTTTGATGCAAATGGTCTGTGTGGTTTGCAAAACTTGCAAAGTTTGCCCTTTTTACTAACACCGTTAGGGACTGAATCTGTAAGGGTATTTTCGTCTTTTCAAGTATAAAAGGACTGAATTGGTGACATTTGATAAACCACAGGGACCATTTTTGAAATTTCTTTGAAAAAGACAATTAAATTGCTTGGGGGAAGGATTGAACTCGTGACCAACACCTTTCTATAGTGCCCAACAACTTAACCACTTGAGCTAAAAGCTCACTTGGTTTTTACCTTCTAAAACTTATTTATATAATAATAAATCGACAAAAATAAACAATAAATAAATTAAAAAAAAACATTTTTTTACATATTTTTTTTAATAAAACAAAATATATTTTAACGTATTATAAAAAAATACGTTAAAAAAAGTATTTACTTTTATGTATTTGTTTTACATAAAATACTTTTTTAATAAAACATAAACAATAAATAAACTACAAAAAATATTTTTTTACATAATTTTCTTTTAAATAAAATAAAACGTGTTTTCCGTATTATTAAAAAAAATAAGTAAATTACAAAAAACATTTTAAGTAAAACAAAACGTATTTTTTTTCTAAAACACATATATACAATAATAAAATCGACAAATCATAAACAATAAATAAAACTTATTTTTATGTATTTATTTTACGTAAAATATGTTGTTTTATGTATTTCTAAAAATCGTTTTTCGGTTATATGTATTTAAAAACACATAAAACCTATTCGGTTATATGTCTTATTTAAAATACGTATTTCAACTTAACCGTTAGTTTTAAATCGTATGGTTAAAATGACGATGGAAATAAATAAAGATTTATTTTTTTAAAATAACAATGACTAACACTAATTGTGACATAAAAAAATATTAATTGCTTAAATACATATAGCAAAATTGTTGTTAAGTTTTTTTTAACCGAAAAACGGTTTTTAGAAAATCGATTTGGCCAAAAAAAGAACCAATTCGGCCGATTTTGGCTTTCATTACAACATAATAGCATATTATACGAAAACGTATTTTTTAAAGACATAAAAAAACATTTTATGTAAAATAAATTCATAAAAATAAATATTTATAAAAAATGTTTTATTAAAAAAACATTTTATGTAAAATAAATACATAAAAATAAATACTTTTTGCTAAACGTATTTTTTTATAATACGCTAAAATACATTTTGTTTTATTAAAAAAATATATGTAAAAAAATGTTTTTTTTTTAATTAATTATTGTTTATGTTTTATTGATTTATTATTATATAAATGAGTTTTAGAAGGTAAAAACCAAGTTGGTCTTTAGCTCAAGTGGCTAAGGTGCTCGGCATTATTGAAAGGTGGAGGTCACGAGTTGATCCCTTCCCTTTGCATTTTAATTGTCTTTTTCAAAGAGATTTCAAAAATGGTCCCTGTAGTTTATCAAATGTAACGAATTTAATCCTTTTACACTTGAAAAGACGAAAATGCCCTTAGAGATTCAGTCACTAAAGGTGTTAGTAAAAAGGGCCAACTTTGCAAGTTTTGCAAACTACAAGGACCGTTTGCATCAAAACAAATTGGCAGGGACTGACTTTGTGACTTTTGGCAAACCATAGGGACCATTTTTGTAATTTTATGTTTTCATTTTATACATTTCTAGTTTATTTTATCTACTAATTATAATTTAAATGCAATATTTAATATTTATAATATGATGTTATATAATAATTTATATTAATTAATTATAAATATAGAGTTTAATTAGTAGATGGGTGTATTTGACAACATATATAAGTTATAAAAATGAAATATTCTAGGAATATACTTTTTTGAGTAAAAATGGGGTAGAAAATGCAGTAGGGTTGGAGATGAAACACTATTTACTCCATTTTTTACTCCATTTATAGAGGAAAAAATGGAGATGGGTTGGAGATGGTCTCATACTATGGGCTTGGGAGCTATCTAAATATGAGCTGAGGGCCCGAATGGTATGCCAGACTCATATTGCGAGCTCAATATATGTTATTATATGTGTATGTGTGTTGGTACCTTTGGGGGAACTCATTACGTTTTGGCTTACAGTTTTATTTTATGGTTTCAAGTACTTCCGAGGATCGTGAGAAAACGAAGGTGTGATCATGCACATCTTCCTGTTCTACATCACTGAGTCTTGGGAAAAACTATGATTTGGAAATAATGCTTTTGAAAAAATGTCTTTTTTTTGTAAGAAATGTTTATTAATTGTTGATTTTGAAAATTTTAAATTTATTGTGATTTTTGGGATGTTACAATATAAGTGTAGAAATCATCTCCAAATGACTTCTCAAATCATGTGATTTTTACTTCTCTGGGGCTCTATTTCTTCTTGTATTTCGTCGTCATGAGAGGATTCATTTTGCTTGACTATTTTTGGAGCATTTTTCTCGGCCTTATGAAGACAGGGAAGCATATTATCAAAGAACGATGCATTTCTTGACTCCAATATTGCGCCTTCGCATATTTATGGTATTTTTGAGTCATGTACAAGCAACTGATAAGCACTACTATTTTGTGCACATCCAATAGTCTTGGATCCTATCTTAACCACCTTGGGTGCAGGTACCACGACCTTTGCAAGACACCCTCACATTTGAAGGTACTTGTAGGATGGTTTTATACCCGACCATAACTTATATGATGTTTTATCTGATTTCTTTATGGTACCTTATTTAAAAGGTAGTTAGCTAACAATACAGCTTCCCTCCCCCCCCCCCCCCCCCCCAGTTGAGGATGGCAACCCAGAACTTAAAACCATGGCATTTCAAGGTACAGTTTTTTCTTTCCGCGATGCCATTCTTTTGTGGTGAATAATGTGAAGTAAGATC